TAAATATATATAAATTAAAGAGATAGGACATGTATGGAATTTTGGACGGAGGTTAGAGATGGGAAAAGGAGAGAGATAAGGTGATAATAAATGCTTGAAGGAGATTAGGAAAAGACTGAAGAGATGAGAAGTTATCAAGATGAGAGGGGAAAAGAAAAAAGTTTTTCAGGGAGAAAGGAGAGAGTAGCATGAAAAAGAGAAGAAGAAATGTCAAAATACGAAATTATGGAGAAAAAAGAGGCAGAAAGACGAGAGATGAAAAAAGTTCGTAGAATCCAGATATAATAAATAGTACGATAATATACGGTTAACATGAATTCGCAACTTTTTATACCAAATAGAATAATTCTACATATTGCCCAGTGCTTCCAAAAATTAAATAGTAAAAATGGGAATAACTTTGAAACATCAGGCAACGTTGAGCAGATCTCGCTTTGTGCAAAAAATTGGAAAAATCTATATGTAGTTATATAATTATAAATATTATTTCGCACTGAAAAACGCATCAAGTAACGCGGAGTGGATCTCATTTTGCGTAAAAAATAGCAAATTCACGTAAAGCTTCTTCCTTGTCTGCATATTTACTTTTCAATTTGTAGCATTCTTGAACTTCTTATAAAAAGATCTGTGTGTTTATTTAAAAACCACTTTTTTACCAAACTTAATTAACTTAATCATTGATTAACTTACAGGGCAATTAACATAAAATTTCTAATGATATAATTCTCGCACATAAGATAATAAGAATTTTGAAATTATGTTATTGGTCGTTCTATAAGTTAATGAACGATTAAATTAATCGGAGTTTGGTAAAAGTGATCCTAAATGTGTGTTTTTGTGTATGTATATGTGTTTGTGTGTATGTGTAAGTAGTAATCTATTCATATAAACTGTTCAATATTAAATTTTTTATTGCTTATTCACATATAAATCTTGCTTTTCATGCATCTTTATTTGTTAATAACTTTCTAATGAACAGACGACTGAAATCACCTAGGAAAAAAGTCCATACATAATCAATTATGAATATATTTGAAAGTTTTACATAAACTTTACAAAGTATATAATAATGAAGTGGATATAAAATATAAATTTGACATAATATTTAGCTTAATTAATCTTTATCTAGTAACTTTAATTTGATAGAGTTAAGTTACATTGTATTAAATTTTAAATTATTCCTTTATTTTTGAATTTATTATATTTCCTCTCTAAACCTACTTTTCTAAATTTTCCTTGATCTCATTCTCTTTCCTTGCCCTTACAATTTTCTTTATCCAGCTGATTCCTTCTCTCTTTTCCCTTAATAATTGATTTATTCTTGTACTGTTTCTTATTTCCACAATACAATTTGCTGTTAAATGCTACACAAGTTCTTTTCCTATTCATGCCAAAATTTATTTTGGAATTCTTTATTTCTACATCTGATTCTCGCAATAATTTTCTGAGAATTATGTTGTATCTGTTTTTGAGTTTCTGTATCTTTTTCAAATAACTTATGTACCAATCAATGCCTTCTTCTCTTAATCTTTTTACTTCTATCTCAAACATTCCATTCCTACGAAAATACATTTCTCTATCTGCTTCTTATTTATTTTTTTCCCTTATTTTTCTCTATTTCCCTAAAATATTCCTTCAATATATTATTACTTAAATTCTCTGTAATTTTCCCCTCAAATTTAATTGCTCTTTTACCTGTTTCTATTCTCAAAAGCTTTCTTTTTATTTCTTTCCTGAAAATCTATCATGGTATGTTCCAATCTAAACTTAGCGACTATTTCATAAATTTATCCTGGCACCTTTCCACTGTCTCGTATTCTTTCCATTTCCAAATTTCTGTTCCATACATTAAGATACTCTTTACCAAGTAATCAAATATCCATATATTTTTAAAGTCTCTGACAAATTTTCTTTGCTTTATGTCCCATACTTGTTTTATAATGCAGCCGTTTTAACCTTTATAGCCTTTTAAACTTTTTGATATGTCTATCTGCATTATTTTTTTGCAACGTAAAATATTTGATTATATATAGACTTTTTCCGGGATTTTTTGGATGTTATTTAGGATCATAATTGACAACATATATCAAGATGCAGATGTTACACTAACGTAAACATTCACCAAAAAGATAGGACTACTACATTTAAAAAAATACCTAATAAAAATTAGAATTGTTGAGATGAAACATAAATAGCATTTTTATCCGACGTCGCGCTTTTCTGTCGAAATAAAATTTTATTTTAGTCGGAAACTGCCACGAATCGATCGTCCCTCATGATTAATGTCATCGATTATATCGTGTGTCGTTTCTTGTAATCGAAGACTTGTGGGTACGCGGCATATCGTTCATCACTCGGTTCCTGCTTTATTATCAAGAATTGAGTAAAAACAAAAAAAAAGTTCAAATGTGGAATGGAGTACGTTGAGTTTGCACCTCCGACCCACTATGCGCATTGCGGTCTTCCATTGTCAAAAAAAGAAAAATTGGTCATAGATTAACGTGGAAAAAAAGAAATATACATATACATATATATACATATATATACATATATGTACACATATATATTAGAGAAAGAAAGAGAGGGAGAGAGAGATTTATTTGTCGATTACAATTGCTCGTGTTCTCTCAAAAGAAAGCATTGGCAGATGCAAATGATGGCTAGTTCAGGAATTTATGGATACATGAATTCGCCGGAAGCCGTTCAAGTTGTATGCGCGTTTTGGGATTTATAAATCTATATGTAATTCGCGCGGTTTATAGGATTCATAAACCCATACGTAATTCGCGCGATTCTGTTATTCACGGTAAAAATACGCGCGGTCTAAAATACATCAATTTACACACCGCCAAAGAGATTCATGGCCGTGAGAAAAATGCAACATATATAAATCTTGATTTAGTCATTTGTGCAATGGCCCCGAAAAGCACCATATAGATTGAATTAACATAAAACTTGTATTGCTAACTGATCAATAAATACATGTTAAAACCTTATAACTTCTGTTTTATTCATATATATCAACTA